CTCTCTCTCTCTCTCTCTCTCTCTCTCTCTCTCTCTCTCTCTCTCTCTCTCACACACACACACACACACACACACACACACACACACACAGAGTGACACTTACATTGACTCTTGCAAGCACCTTCAGCAGTCCATAGCCACCTAGGCCGCAGGACTCCAAAGGAAATTTTGCCATACACATAATCACCGACTGAGATCGATATCAGCAAGTGATTAGATAGGCATAGAAACTATGCTCCACCCACATGATAAATGGACCCCATGTGATAGTGCAAGCCCTGCATACCTGTTCCCAGACCTCCCTGTTTGGTGCATTCTTGTCTGCAAGCCAGACTGCTGACTTCTTGTTCTTCCGCTCTTGTTCAAGAACTTTCCAATACCTTCCTGTAGAAAACAATTAAAATGAAAAGCCAGGGACACAATGATTTCTTCTGAGAGACTCAATAAATCGTCACCGAAATGACTAAAATTGAAAATTCACTAAATGCAAAAGTTTGAAAAAACATAAATGATACCGGCATGAAAGGCATTCCACGATACAGACACCAAATTTGAATCTCGGGGGCAGGGTCTCAGGTCAAAAGAGGCCGCGTCAGCCAGTTCAGGAAAATCACAGTCGGGTTAGGAGTCAATTCCAACGGGCACCCGGTGAACAGTCACATCCCAGAGGCAAAAGTTGCATTCCATAAGCAAAAGTCACGTCTCATATTGAGAGGTCATATTCCACAGGCAAAGGACACTTCTCCAGGCAAAAGTCGTGTCCCAGAAGCAAGAGTCACATCCCACAGTCAAAAGTCATGTTCCACAGACGAAAAGTCGTGACTCACAGACCCAAGCAGCAGCACACCAGTGAAAATTCCGGAAAGTACCACGCCTCAGCATTCTTAAGCAAATAGGCCGTGGGCATGTGGTACCGGGGCCTAGTCAAACCAAAGGAAGCAGAGGTTGGACGAGTTCAGGCTCAGTCCAAGTCAATACAAGGACTGGCCAGCCACATTTCAGGGAGATTGCTCATTCGTGAGAAATGTGGAAGTGCAGCTGGAGCGCTTGTGCGCTATCTGCGGGTGACATGCGCGAAAGTGCTGGGCAGCACTGTGCAGAGAGGGAAGGCGGCCATAGCCGCATAGCTAGTAGTAGGAGATAGAGCTGAGTGGTAGAGGATGTATTCAGAGACAAGATCCTCAAGTAGAGAGAGAGGGAGAGAGAGTAGAGGGAGAGAGTGAGCGCATGCATGAAGAAGACAGAGAGAGAGGGGGGGGGGACAGAGAGAGAAAAGAGTCACCTACCTTGGATGAGGATGCTGGGGTTGGGTTGCTCAACCCTTCGCTGATGAGCGCTGGTGACTGGAACTCGGAAACTGCTTAGTATGATAATTTGTTGGAATTTCTAAGCTGTGCTTATTCTGGAATTTGCATCTCTGGTTTCCAGTGTGGATTCGGACAATCAGCAGGGAAGTCATGTGTTGATACATGCGCTGCGCCCCTCAACGACTACACGCCAGACATCCCTGCTTGGGATGATGATATAGTGTGTGATCTCTCAATGTGCGTGTGTGCTCAAGGTGACGAGCAGTGAGGCTCGATGCAGGCATGATGATGGGATCAGTATCAACTCTCTGAATATTTGAAATGTTACACGCATATATGGTAGGATGTAGTTCACAAACTTTGCTTCCACAGTCTGCTACTATCAAAGAACCATCTTCCCCTAATCAGGACGTCTAAGCCATCTTGACCTCTAACTTGATCTAAGCCCCTGGTTGGGAAAAAAAAGCATAGGTCACATAGCCGCTTTGACTGTGCACGGTGCTGCTGAAAATGATTACAGGATGTAGTCAACAACTTTGACAGTCTGCACCTGTCAACGATCTTCCCCTAATCAGGATGCGCAGCCAACTGCCCACTGCAGAAAACACATAGGTGAGATAGCCATTCTGACTGTGTGCGGTACTGTTGACGAATGAGCTAACATAGCATGATGAGCCCACGTTACAGCAGGCTCCAGATGAAAGTAGAATAAGAGCATTTAGAAAGGGCATGGGGATTGCCCAAGGATTTAACACATCAATACCTTTTGGCATCACGCTACTTCTGCCCTACACCATATATCAAACTTGTTGTAACATCAATATAGACAAAAAATGAAAAAGGCAGATATGCATGAGCAAGGGGAGATGATGCTAAACCTGGTGAGGACCATTAACCCAACACAAAAGCTTTCCGGTAAGTTACTGTCGATCCTCTGGTTACAAGTTCACCTCTACCTTTTCTCTGATGATTTTCTGCTTCTTCATCTCCTTGTTGACTTAACTTTTTCTTAATTGTATCATTACAATTTTACAGTTTACAAATTTACACAGAATTCTGAACCTTTTGAGGTGCAGGCAATAACCCAAACTTCAAAGAGTCAGACTGTCAACAAGGACGACAAAAGAATACCATACTACAGGATCTGGCCGACTCCAACTGCTAATGTATGGTGTCAAATTGTCAATCCCGTCAAGGCACTCTAGACCTAGCATTTCGATATCGCATATCATGCAAACATTGTTTGATGACACCAGACACGGTGCACACACACAACGTGGGAGCACGCCCACACACACACACACACACACACACACACAAGGCACCGCGAGAGAGAGAGAGAGGGAGAGAGGGAGGGAGGGAGGGAAAGAGGGAGGGAGGGAGGGAGAGAGGGAGAGAGAGGGGCAGAGAGAAAGGTCGGCTACAACAAGACTAAACCCTCATTCACTGAAAATTACGCATCATGGCTGGTCTGTGGCTCCTTACCTTTCGTCAAGTCACCCATTAGATTGAACAATGGACGATCTCCTGCAATATCCCGGTGAGCACGCTCCACCAACTGCTCACAGAGAGCAGACTTCGCACAACCAGGAATGCCTGACCGAAACCATGAGACGAAATGCATGTAAGGCAATCCATCAAGGAAATACTCCACTATCCACCCACAGACAGCTTCCTGCCTCTGAGGCAACAACAAATGTTTCATTTTTGCCTCCTTGATTGATTGCAATGTCCACAATGGAATGCCAAGAATTTTCAATGATTGGTGCACCAAATCCTGAGAACATCACTTTGATGGACGAAGACAACGTCGACAAACACAAAAGAGTTCAAAAAAGAGAAAGGAACGAATATCAGAGCTCAAGCAATGCCTACCTGGATGCGCAAACACTGCACAGCTCACTGTTAGAGTATACTCACACGAGGCTCTCAAAATCACAAAATCACAAAATGAGTGGCCAGAAGTGCCTGTGAAGTTGTGAAACTATCTTTTCTTGTGGTGTCACAGGATGGTAGATAGGGACAGTGGGAATCTCATGACCCTTTTTTCTTTAGAATTTTTCATGTTTTTACCTTTTGTAATTGGAGTTGTTTGGATGGGTGTTTATCCTGAGGTATTCCTGGAGTGTATGCATACCTCTGTAACTAATTTAGTACAACATGGGAAATTTGGGCCCTAAAGGGCCTTTGTATTTGACCGGCCGCCGACCAAAACAGTTTTTTCGTCTTTTTTTTTGGGACAAGATGCAAAATAACCCCTGCAAGTCAAGATATATGCCAAAATGCCCCTAAAAGATGTGGGTAGAACAGAATACCCTTTTGGCCCTAATTCTTTGTGTTTTGCCCCTGTCAGGCCCATGTGCAAATTTTCAATCTGGACCACGTCGTTGGGGCCTGGGCCTGCACCCTGTTTTACCAGGTTTGCCCTCCATACCAGCTGGGCAACTTTGCGCAATACCCAGGCCCGTCGGCAGGGCAGTTTGCCTCCGTGATTCAAACTTTCAAACTCGTTCCAAGTCTCTGCCACTGTCTCACGCTGTGTTCGGCAGCTTCATTCATTGTCCTCCCTGGTAAGGTTCCCCATCTCCAGCTCCTCCTATGCCGCGTCGCCATCTCTGATATCCTCCTGCAAACTCTCTCTCTCTCTCTCTCTCTCTCTCTCTCTCTCTCTCTCTCTCTCAGCAAGGGGGCAAATCGCAAAGATGACCTGGGCCACTACGGGTAAAATGAAAATAAATAGGGCCTGGGGAAAGTTGGCAAGTACCAGGACACTTTGCAAAGATGGACAGTACCCGGTAGGGGCATTTTGCAAAGATGGCAGGTCCAACCGACGCCAGGGGCATTTCGCAAAACACTTTTCGTGTCAGAGGGGTATTTCACAAATTATCCTTTTTTCCTTTTTTTACGGACTACCACATCAGGAGGCTGAAGCCTGAACGCTTTGTAGAATCCCTATTTCTAAACAGGTTAGACTGAATCTGGACACAAGGAAAACGGGGTGGGTGACGGTGACCGGCTTATGAGCACATACGGTTTTCCTTCGGGTCCTGGATAGGTTGCTTCAAAAGCATCACAGTGGGTAATGCTCCCAGACCCGGTCTTATGTGGGGAGGCCGGCCCCTAGTTAATAATGAACGGAACTCGTGAACCTATCTTGTTTTCGAAACCTACTATTGTTCCTGTCCTGTCTATACCAAGTCGCAGGATGCTCGGTAGTTTGCTTTTAGCAAGAACAGCACGAGCCAACTCTGTGTCCACATCATGCTCTTATTGATATCGCAATTCGCATTCCAATAGTGAACGCAAGCAGCTGCAATTTTCCTTCCCGCAACTGAACCTTTCAAGGGGTCGGGTGACAGCCCTGAGCCGCCTCTATACCTCGACCATACCCACCTGTGGCCTGCTTCTTCTTTACTGCCTCGTTTGTCATCAGGCGTCGAGTGGAGATAAACTAACAGACATACCCGTGCAAATGCGGGCACAGACCACAGCATAGCGGCATTCCCTCAGAAACCCCTTTGGTCCTAGCTCCTCCTATTCTGGGGAGCATCAGTCCTGTTTTCTTGGTTTTCCTCGTAAACAAACATACAGCGGTCAGGACGGCGTGCTTCAAAAAGATTACATCATGCACTTGCTTTCCTCTGTCCTTTCCTTAGAACTATACACACACTCCTTGCCACGAAGTGCATCGAGGTCAAGGAATCGACAACACCAACTGTCATTTCAGCATCATAATATTTTATTATTCTTACAAAATTCCACTCTAAACAGCAGCATGGCACAGAGTTCTCAATTACTTGTTCCAGAATTTTCCTTAAATTAACCAGCTTTGTCGGTACCAAAACTGTCACACTGGTAAGGTCTCTGCTGTGCTGTTGTACCTGGAAAGAAGATGATCATGCCCTCCCGATTCAGAAGTTTCCTCTTTGACTCCTCGGCTACACTGACGTCTGCTGCAAGAACCTCCTCCTCACCCTCATTGAGCGCATCCTCATCTCTCAGATCCGCAGGCATCCAGTCCTCTGGGTTGATGAGAATATCCTGTGTTGCTCCGACGAATCTGCTGTTCTTTTCACTCATTGCAGCATACCTCTTCAAGAATGGTTCAGCCTCGTTCAAGAATGTGTGCTCCGGAAGCATCTTGTTCCCTCGCTTCTGAGTAATGTAATCCGCCCTGAAAAAACATGGAATGTGATTAATGCACCCAAAACCAGGCATGAATTTGCAATGCTCGAACTGAAATGCAGGGTTGCATACCTGCTGACCGCCGACCACAACTGTTTTGCAGCCGACCAGTGGGGCCGACCAGTCGGCAGTCCGCCGATTAGTCAGAAAACAGCCATCCACTGAATTGTTTTTTAATCTGAGTTGGGGGCCATACTGCACTTGCTGAGTACAGCCCAAATCCACTGAGAAACTTTTGGGTATTGGGGGGGTATGGGGGGGGGTATAGGTGGGGTATAAGGGGGGTATAGCGGGTATTGGAGGGGGTATGATGGTGTTGGGGCGGTGTGGGGGCGTTGGGGAATCTATGGGGTATTGAGGGAAAAATGAGGGTGCTGGTCAGGTTATTGAGATTCTGGACCCTTTTTCTTTTTTTGGGGGGTGCCGACGACCCCCGACCAGTAAGCGCCGACCAGTCAAGGGGTGCCGACCGTCGGGGTATGCAGCACTGCTGAAATGACAATATCAACATGAAAAAGCAACATCAAAAGCAAGGCTGTGAAGAAGAAGAGAACCCAGCTCAGCGAAATATAAATCAATAAGGAGGGCCAACTCAGCTAGTGCACCCATGAACCGTCAAAATCCAGACCTGTCTTCCAACCCTCAATGAACAGAACCGAAAGGGATCGGTCAGTTTCAATGGTAATATCTCACGGCCGTCACCCTTTCAAAAAATAGTAAAGCTACCAGTAGTAAGCAGCACCCAAGACGGGCTGAGCGGAGGAGGGCAATTCTGGCTTTCTACGGGTTCCCCCCAGAGAGTGGTAGATGCCTAGAAGGAATGAGGCTTAGTTTACACGCAAAGTTCGATCAGAGAGTCTACACTGCATGCCAAGAGGATATAGCTCTCTATATTCAGGTATGCTTTTCAATCTGGGCAAGTTTTTGGTTTCCTGCGGGTTTTCCCCCGGAAATTGGCTTCCTGCGGGTTTTCCCCTGGAAATTGGCAGGTGCCTAGAAGGAACGAGGTTTCAATCAGTCAATCAACACTGCATGCCAAGAGGATTAGCTCTGTTCAGCTATGCTTTTCAGTCTGTTTCTTCTGGGCTGAGGTCACACCTAGACGGGAGGGGACTGAATCTCGCTCTGTGGTTGCAACCAACAGTCAATGACCCCAAGGCAGGAGCAATCAATACTGCAGGTGTTTCTCTGCCCATACCGAGGGGACACACATGTTGGGTTCTTCTGTATCACGGCAACTTATCAGTGGAAAGGAACCGAACGGCACCTCCGCAGCATACACAGAGCCAGGACCATAAGGCGCTGTAGTTCATAGAAGTTTCGAGAAAAAGAGAAAACAATAATTACGGTCTTCAAGTCTGTTCTTAGTTTTCACCAACAGGATCTCCACCTCTTCACTCCTCAACGCAACATGTCCTCATACCAGTGATCTCTCCTCTCTCCAACACACTCACACCAGACCCAATGTCCCTCCTGCAGTTCACCTGTCCCTGGCGCTAGCCTACCCTACGCCAGCACAAATTAACATGAACGATGGAACCGTTCTTCTTCAAGCAGTGTGTAGTCTCCAAACTCGGTCACAAAGATTACCAGCACATAAGCACCTGGAAAGTCTTCTTCTTCCAAAACCCTTGGCCACATATCCCTCCCCCTCGCTCCCTGCTTCTCTTAACTATATGTGGCGCAGCCCCACCTCCACCTCTCCTAGCTATACCGGTACTAGTCTCTCCTCTCCTCAGCTCCAGCACTCTCACACACAGCACCTTAGCGTCAATGTGCAAAGCAGAATGTGCCACAGCTGGGTTAGAGCCGGAATTAGACCACATTCTGTTTGAACCAATGAAGGCCTGAGAGTCAGTTCTCTGCCTCTAGGGTGCAGCCATAGTCGGAGGCTGCTTGCACCTACAGTAGCAGTCCCCGGATGCATCTGGAAACATTGCTGTGAGTTTGGATTGTGGCTAGGGTGCAGCCATAGATTTTTGACTTCTGGTCTTTCGCTCGAATAGGGCCTGGTTGCCTCCCTTGAGCTTCTCGGTAATCAGGTTAGACGCACCTCTACGACCCTACAGCATAACTTCTGAAGCCTGAGGTAGGTCGAAGTGAAAGAAGTGATATCACTATCAAGTAATCAACAATGTGGTAGAAATGGGAAAAGCGATTAGTAGAAGGCAAATCAAGTAGTAGTAGGTTAGATGGGCCAGTAACTGTGGTAAGAAGTGGAAGACGAACTACAGAAAGCAGATTGACGTGGAAGAAGCAAAGTGAGATAGACCTGCTGGGGGCAGTAGTAGTAGTAAGAGGCGATAAAGTGGTAGAAATGATAAGACTGGTCAAGAATGGCGAAAGTGGTAAGAGGTACGAAAAGTAACAGTAAGCAGTAAGAGCAGTAAGACCAGTAAGAATGGTAATAGTCATAAAACTGATGACATCGCAGATTGCAAGGGCACATAAAACTGCTGAGAAGCAGCTCGAGACTCTTAGACATTCAACTGTCAGCTTAGTTCGTACTCTATTAGGGGCTTTAGGGGGGAGGGGTGGGGGGGGGGGAGGGCAGGGGAGCGGAGAGCAAGAGCTGGATGCGGTTGGGGTTATATGGAAGTAAGTGTCTTGTAAGTGTTTACAGCATACACAGGTAAAAAAGTGCCAGATGCTCAAACTCTGTTTTTGCAAATGTCTTCATGCCAGTGCTGGGTGGGCAACCGGGCGGTTGAGCTGCCCCGGTCCAACCGGAGCCGGATCAACCCCGGGGGGGTGAACCGCGAAACCAGTTTTGAAAAAAAAGTGGCTTTTTTTTTTTTTTTCGGCAGATTCCGACTGCGCTCTTCAAGAGCTGTCGGAATCCGCAGTAAAATTTTCAAGGTGCAATATTTTTCAGGGGGCTTCCAGAGGGGGCAGGGGGGTATTATTGGCATATTCAGGCAACTGCATGGGTCCTGGAGACCATCTCACGCAAGTGTGTACATGCCATGCATCGTTCTCCCACACACCACGAACAGTAGCCTGATAATAGACAAAGGTAGAGAAGATGAGAACCGAGTTTCACAGCTTATATTATCAAAAATATGAATACAAAGTGTTTCAAAGTTTCCCTGAATCCAGCGCTCATCAGCGCAACACCAATATCTTGCCAACTCATCAATATGCCTTCCAGTGAATCAGTGCTACCCCTGCAGATAGTCTC